TTCTCGGAATATACAGCTGAAGCTGAGCTGAAACTTCATCAGTTTAGTTGTTCAGTATCCTTCATTAGATTTTGAACACCTTTGTTGCTTCAAACGATAAAAATGCACAAATTACAAATGATGGACTACGTCTTTAACTGGAATCCTGCTGGAATCCTGCACGTGAAGAAAACAAACGGTAAAAAAAAAAAGCCGCGTCGCCCCACCACTTTTTGGGCAAGCTCCATACCAGAAACCGGAGACTTTTTTTTGGCCTGAACCATTGCGTCAAAAGAAGTAATGTCATCAACGTTAACAGTCCAGTGAGTGGAGATGAAAAGACTTGCATATCTCGCTCCTTTCGAGTCGTGGCCATTAATGTAGTTTTAATACAAGGGAGTTTTTGAGGCTCTTATACGTAATCAAGCATTGTGGCGTGTTTAGCATGTGTATTGCCACAGCCGTACAACCAATTCATTTTGTGTGTAGGCTCCCTCCGTCAAAATGGATAGTTCAGATGGCGATTTTTTTCTGACTCAAAAGTAGTTTTTGCAGTGACGGCGGAGAATCTGACACTGAAGATGCATTGGTAATTTTCGGAAGGAAAGTTTTCACGCAGACGGTCCTATCAATGCTCATAATGGAGAATATGTCCCACATGTTCAAAGTGTGGATTCATAATTCCGAATCCACACGTTCGTAGTTCCGAATCCACACATTGTGACCAGTGTAACAGATTCGTAGTTCTGAATCCACACTTTTAACAATAGTGTGACGTCATAGCAATGGTTTCATTCAATTGAATCTACAGTTTTGATTGAATTATCTTCATGCTTGTATCAATTTCGAAAAAGACGGAATTACTGTGGTCATGTAATAAGTACAGGTACCTTCTTTTACCATGATGATATCCATATTGCTGTACATGTAGACAACACATGCATACATCGCCTGGTATTTAAGCTCAATTCCTTTTTACCTAAACACTTGCACTGGAGCAATTATGAAATGAATCCATTCTGGTTTGAATTGATTCTGGTTTTGACAGCACTTTTGATTCTATCAAAAGAGTTCGTTCATGTAAACTCGTCACTTGGACGAACATTGTCTTTTACTGTGCTTTTTCACAAAGTTGTGGAGGTCATTTCATCACAATTCAAAATAGTAAACCTTCTTGGTTAACTAAAAAAATGGAACAAAACGCTGGAACAAAAAGCTTAGAGGAACAAAAACTACAATAGAAGTAGGATTAAAACAAAATTAAAAATCAAAAACATACTAATACTAAGAACAATCAAATGGAGTTAAATGGTGGCTATTGTCAATTCCCTTTCCGGTTTAAATCCGAGACGACGGCTGTTTCCTGCAACACGACAATATATTTTAGAAGATGAACTCAAACAGTTGCTACAATAAGAAAGTGCATAAGTTAAGGAAAGAAGATATACCAACGGCTTTGATATTTACGTCCTTTGATGTCTTTGAATAAGACTCGAAACGTAATGTTTCCATTTGATTTTTACGGCCACTCAACAAGTATAAAATCCATCAAATAAATATTTTAATTTGAACAAATAGGCTAAAAAGATACATGCCCGATTGATGACATTGATGAATTTGGTGCGCCATGGCTTTGGTAAAATATTGCCCCAGGTTTACTATGCTTTTACACAAAGATGTGCAAGACATTTCATTACAATTCAAAACAGTCAACAATCGTGTTTAACTCAGACTTGGAACAAAAGCTTAAAGGAACAAAAGCTTGAAGGAACAAAAACTTGCAATGAAAGAAGGATCAAAATGAAATTTGAAATAAAAAAATACTAATACTAAGAAAACTCAAATGGAGATCTAAATTTGGTAGCCATTGTCAATTCCATTTCCGGTTAAAATCAGAGACGACGGCTGTTTCCTGCAACACGACAATATATTTAAAAGATGAACACAAACAGTTACTACAATAAGAAAGTGCATAAGTTTAGGAAAAAAAGATGTACCAACGGCCTTGATATTTACATCCTTTGATGTCTTTGAATAAGACTCGAAACATAATATTTCCATTTGATTTTTACAGCCACTCAACAAGTACAAAATGAGGATGTATTACGGTTTATTTGTGACGTGAAACTAAACTGGGTGTTCTATATCAATTTTAACCCCACCAAACGCTACAGAGTATACTTGTAGTCATTTTTAATAGCTGTACTCATATGTTCATTACTTGTAGTATTCTGTAGCATATACTACAGGAATATATCATGTAGTACTTTTCAATTTGCTCATGACGTTTGTTGCAGGTGTTTGAAAGGAAAAGCCTGTCATCATCTAAGACAAAACACAATTATGAACTACTGGTTTTAACAGAGATGAAACGTTTTTCTCAGCTGTATCTTTCAAGATTTCACAAAGACACTCAAGACTATAAAATACTAATAAGTATTTTGTAACATACGTTTCTCCACCCAAAGTTATTTCTAAGGGGTTTGGGGTTTAAGGTAAGTTAAGGTTAATTTCAATTATCGCTTCGGTTAGCAAAGGTTTTGAAAATGTGAAGCCAGAACCAATAGGGTTTGTTCAACCACTCTATATCTTGTCACAGCGCCCTCAATGTTTAGTACCAGAAGTAAGGAGTAGCTCACCTTGATACGTCTACTGGTCTCGATCGACAGTGTTCTGCTCTTTCGACAAAAGCTGTTCCCGTCGCGGGTACAACTCGATGCTGTCCCTCTTGACCTCATTATCTAGGAATTGTAATCAAACTATGAATTTTTTTTTTATAATTATCAAAATCTATTTGGTTGTTTTAACGAAACAGAAGTTGAATATACGTCCCGCTGTTACAGAGCCCTTTTTGCGGTCCACCGTACATGCGCTTTGTCAACTGCCAATGGCTTCAGTTTTGACTTAGTTTCTCTTTGGTAGTTCTAAAGACTTTATAACAATATAATTACCGCGGGGACTTGATGAGGGGGTCCTCACTAGACTGAATATTGAAATCATATGAAAATGTTTCATCGTGACATTTTTCATCGACTTATGTGGGAAGTAAAACCCTAAAAACTGTGGTTAGCAATTAAACAGAAACACATTGTAAACATAATTAGAAGATGAAGGTACAGTCCATCATTTGTAATTTGTGCATAATGTTCGTTTAAAGCAACAAAATTGTTGAAAATCTAAAAAAAAACCGCTTTAGCTCAGCGAATGTCGTATATTCCGAGCAAACAATATTCTAGGATCTTAATTTCAAATCAAAAGTTGCCGAGTCATGTTTTGAATTGGGCCTGAATTCAGCGCCCGAGACACGTTCTCACTGGGCCGATTGCAGCTACGCGATGTCGCGCTTTGAACCGGCGGATTACAGCAACTGAGAGCGCGCGTGTGCGTCGTGCCAACGCTCGCGCGCGCTTCGCCGATTTTAAACACGAACTTATAACAAAAATGTAATGTCAAACGATGCGTCTTTAGACCAGTATCCAGGAGCGTTTAGACAAAAACATTGAAAAAGATCGGTTCCTACCGCATCTCATCATCTCTTATTTGAGCAGATTTGTTTTAAAAGATCCACTGAGAAGCACGTGCATATATTAAATGGGTAAAAGTGGTACGCGTACCGTAGCAGTTCTGCCACTCATCTTCCCCGTAGAGGCAGTCAATGATGCGATCGCAGGTATACCTCATGGGGATTTCGTCACCGTCAGCACAGTGGAAAACGTCTGGAAATAACCCAATATCAAAACAAATACGATGCCTTGTTAATACCCAAGATTATTTGGGGATTTCCTGCATTTTGTGACGTTTTGGTATGATCCATTAATAAAACATACAGAAATAATTTGTATTACTGACTAAGTAATCATATTATCAAGTGACACACGGGCCAAACTAAAGATAAAATAAATTATCCCGCGAGCGCGAGTGGAACACGGAATTGACCGCTTGCAGACGCGATCGAGAATTGACGCGCTAAGGTGAGCGACGCCATGTTCTGGGACAAAATGTGCGTGGATAGATATACGCCTGTCCCACAACATGGCGTCGCGCGCCTTCGCGCTCCGATCATCGAACGCGTCTGCAAGCGGTCTATTATGTTAAAAGTGCATCTGTGTCCCACACCACGTGGCCGAAAGCCGAGTGGTATGTGGGACACAGACGCACTATATTTTCTGTGTTCCACGAGCGTGAGCGTGATAACGAAAATATCTTCAAACAAACTTGACGCGCAGTTGGAACGAGCACACTTTTCATGAACATCTCAGCAGTTTAGCGCATGCAGCTGGAATGTCGCTCGCATCTAGTATCTTGGAAAAGCGCATTACGCAGGGTGTGATATGGACCGTGCAACATTATACAAATAACGAATGTTTGTGAGTGCGATGGTAAGAATAATTTCATGAGGTGACAGATTGAATGTTCTATTCCACGAGGCGAAGCCGAGTGGAATAGAACATTCAATCTGTCACCGAATGAAATTATTCTTTCCATCGCACGAACGTAAAACATTCGTTATTTGTTTTATACAACACCTGAATAAATTCTCGTCATTTGATTGGTAAATTATAAACTACAATTTATTTTGATTTTAAAGATGTTGAACTACCCCTACACGAAAATGTTTGAACCCAACGCTGTAGCCCTGGCTCTTTGGAACAATGCGCGCTGCGCTGAACGCGCACACCAGCATGCATTTTGCACGCAAATACCGCGTCATGGAACAAGCGCAAAGTGAAACGGTATAACGCATGAGTATAACGCATGGTCGCACCGTGCATTATACCGAATAATAATATGTCACGTGATCTACAATTCACCAATCAGATGACGGGGATTTATTCAGGTGTTGTATAAAGCCTCATATCACACTGTTGTTGCGAACGATCGACTAATCAGGATCGAGGATTCAAGTTTACTTGAAGATAATGCGTATTGTTATCACTTTGGGGTGCTTTCAATAAGCTTACTCGTGTTAGTAAATTTTCACGAGAGCGTTCGATTGGCCATAACGTGATACTCGTGTCTGCCTAGGTGTTAACCACCACTAACCAGTCGATTTCGTGGTTAGCTAAAAAAAAAGAAAGAGCAATTTATTAAGGAATGCTTTTCTCTTGATGAAAATAGTAGGCCTCGCTATGGGATGAACTTCAAGAAACAGTTGTTAGGAATATTTACCGTTACAATTGTATTCATCTTCGCCATAGTAGCAGTCAGAGTATCCGTCGCATCTTTGGTTGTCTAGAATACATTGACCGTTCTGGTAGCATCGCCACTCATATGAATTGCAGTCGTAAAAGCTTGGTTCTGTAGTGTAATCTGGGTTTTAAATGTAGTTTAAAACAGTTGGCTATATACGTACGCAAAAGATGTGTTATTTCCATCCTAAAGAACTTGTTTGTGATTAATATTTACCATAACAGTTGTATTCATCTTCGCCATAGTAGCAATCTGAGTATCCGTTGCATCTTTGGTAGTCTTGAATGCATTGACCGTTGTAGTAGCATCGCCACTGATATGAACTGCAGTCGTAGTGGGGTGGTTCAGTGGTGTGTTCGAACGGGCCGTCAGTAGAAGGACTGGAAGCTTTAGTATTGTTTAAAACAGAAAAAAAATGATACGTAATATGAGTTCAGAAACTTGAAGAGCTATGTATCAATATTTGCGATATAAAAACAACTTTTAAAAAAGGGTCTTATATTTTTTTTTATTTTTTTTTTGGGGGGGGGGGGGGGCACCCTGCATTACCTGAGCATACCACACCACCAACTTCTCCGCTGTCGCAGCGTGTAGAGGTGGAAGATTGACAATCCAAAATTGAGTTCTCCCACCCGTAGCAGTGTAAATTTACAATAAGACCAATGCCCGGGCCATATGGAGCGTAACGCAGGGCACTGATTGCCGATCCAAATCCAAGCTGTTTACAGGTTACACTTGCATCGCCTATGCTCCAGGTATTACTGCAAGGCGTTCTCCAGACACCGTTGACGATCAGCTCCACTCTTCCTTCATATAAGCTGCTGCCATTTACTAATCGTACTCCACTCTCTAAGGGGAAAAAAAGGGAAAAGAATCAACATTGGGTCAAAGTTTAGACTTGGGACACTAGGAAGGGAACGTGCTCGTTAAGAGGAACCTTTCGGCCCACACAACAGAGGTTGTGTCAAATTTTACTCCTATTGACTGTAGCAATTTTAGGCAGGAAAAGACGTACATTTCCTGTTGAAATGTGCACCCCAAAACGAAAATGTTTTCTTTACTCATACTTTTTTGTTAACCTCATTTTAAGAAGCATGGGCGTCGCCAGGATTGTTTTCCTAGCAGGCGTACTTGAGTAGCAAAGGGAGAAATCACCGGCCGTGGAAAAATCGAAAGGGAAGAGGCTGCTGGACATCACAGTTTCGAGTGTTAAATTAAATAAACGTTAAATTGAGTACAACGTAGCCTTCAACCCTCTTTTTCATTGGGGGGGGGGGTGCTTTTCCAAAGGGGGAGGAGCAAGCCCACCCCCTATCAATCGCGATGCTCAAGCCACAAAGTGTGTTTCATTAGACAAAAAATCACATGCCTTTATTTTTAGGTTTAAGTTGTATTTGTTCATAATCATTCTTAATTAAAACAACATATTTATTGTATTAAACGGTTATAAGTTGGTAAATATCAACATTATTGTTTGAATTTATGCATAAATAATGTGGCAAGACAACGAAGGTTTTGTTTCCAAGACGTATCATGCAACTTACCACAGGTAACTCCGGCGTCCTGATAATGCCCACAGTCATGACTAAACCAGCCATTATGTTGACATTCAGCGATGCTGGATTCATATCCTTGGCAGTTAACATCGTCAAGTATGATCCCACCTGATCCTTGACCAAAATGAGCACCGTGCCAAGCATTGAATGCAGCAGGGAAGCCAAGCATGCGACAGATGACATTAGCATCATCAAGGCCCCATCCATCATCACAGACCGTACCCCACTCGCCTTGGTGGTAAACCTCAACTCGGCCCTCGTTAGAAGCGCCTCCATTAACGAGGCGTACCGTAGCGGGGCCTATGGGTATCAAAGAGTAGTACCTGTCTGATTTGAAACACGCAGACTTAAGTTCCATCACTAGTAACACTATCAATTCAAACACGAGGGAAATTATTATCAGTTTATCTATAATCATCTTAAAAGTTTTAGGAAATTGATGGACCCACGACCCCTCTGTGCATGCGCTAGGGGAGCTGATGAGGACACAGCTTTGCCATGAAACCTGGCAGATAAAAAGCTATATGTTTCAATTTTAATGAATATCAATTTATTTTCGATTTATTTTCGGCCCGACAATTCAGTTGACGTGGGGTAGACTAGCCCCCTCCCTATCAGTATCGGTATATACCGTGAGACCGGGAACCAGTGTACTTCCATGGCGGATGTGTAAGCAGCCTTCAAAACAAACAATAAAGAAACAGCAAAAAGCTCTTTTATGAGGGTTGCATACACACAAAGTAGCAAAAAGAAAATGAAAAGAAGTTGAAAAATTGTAATGAGAATACAAAATCAGACGGTAAATCTATGAAACGCCAGGTTGTCAACGAATTATCTCCAAATACATCATGTGAATATACTGATAGTCCTAAATTCAGTGCATCTTTAAAACACCTTTCACAGGTGAGAGGTGTTGACAACAGTTTTTTTTTCTTTAACAATTTTCGTATACTGCTGTGCTGTGATTGGATGAACAAGTTTGTATTACCTGAGCATTTCACACCAGCATCTTCACTGTGAAAGCAGTGATCAGTGAAGTAAGATTGGCAATCGAGAATCGAGCTTTCCCAACCGCTGCAGTAGGCATGGACAAGGTTAATAGGACCAACACCCTGACCATATGCAGCGTCATCCAGGGCACGAATTGCCGGTCCATAACCAAGCTGTCTGCAGACGACCTGGGCCTCCCTCATGGCCCAACCATGATCGCACACCGTTCCCCAAGAACCGTTGACAAAAACCTCCACCCTGCCTTCATAGATGGTGTCACCATTCACTAATCGTACCACGGAACAGGGTGAATTGACGTCTACAGTGGGAGCAACCGCGTTTCCTATAAAATAAAGTGAATGGAAAAACTGACCTGAAAAAAACATATGATGTGGTTGTAAATGTTTGACAAAGCCTTTTTTATGTGTAAAACTACAATGGCTGCAGATGTGAGTAATTACCGAAACAATTGTATTCATCTTCGTTATAGTAGCAATCTGAGTATCCGTTGCATCTTTGGTAGTCTTGAATGCATTCACCGTTGTAGTAGCATTGCCACTCATATGAACTGCAGTCGTAGTAGGGTGGTTCAGTCGGGCTGGCGTTAGTAGGCTCAGGAACTTTTATGTAAGAATAAAAGGAGAGGATTGAATTTTACTCGTCTGATTTCAAAGGCAACCATGTGGTTAAAAAAGGGTCAGTACGCGTTAGAAATCAAGTTGCCCCCCTTGGATCGCAAGAGAAGACCGAAACAGGGGGACCTGACATCATTTCACACGTGTTACGTGGATAGACACTACCCTCAGAGATTATTGGCTGCTTTGCACCATAACGATGCCACTTTTGAAGTGGTGTGACTGATCTATTATCTATCTACGTAATTCTTCAGCACCTTTCACGTCAAGGTACGCAGCGCCCATTTCGTGGTGAGTTTAAAAACTCAGTTGACCCTAGCGTCATGACGCACGATATCTCAATCGCCTCTACCATCATCAGAAATATTACGGCTGTGTTCAGATTGTAGATAATATGGAGCTGCCTTAATAAATCATGTCAAGGGCACACATACAAAAGAACTTTTTCTTCCGCAATATTTTATATAAACTTTTACTGTGATTGGACGATCAAGTTCATATTACCTGAGCATATCACACCAGCATCATTTCTGTGGGAGCAGTGGCCAGAGAAATAAGATTGACAATCAAGAATCGAGCTTTCCTGACCGTTGCAGTAAAAACTTCTACGGTGCAAAAAACCAACACCCTGACCATATGTAGCAGCACCCGAGGCACTAATGGCTGGTCCATAGCCAAGCTGTCTGCAGATAACACGAGCCTCGTTCATGTCCCAGGAAAGACCGCATACCGTTCCCCAAGCATCGTAGGCAAACATCTCCACTCGTCCTTCATAAATGGTGCTGCCATTGACTAATCGTACCACAGGAGAGGGTGGATTTACCACCTCTACAGTAGGAGCAGCGATGGTACCTATAAAAAAAGAAATGGGTGTGAATGTCTAAGGAAAGTCCGTTTAGTGTTACAGTAAATAGCTGCAGATGCGAGTTTGTATGCATCTTCGCCATAGTAACAATCAGAGTATCCATTGCATATTGGTAGTCCTGAAAACATTAGCCGTTGTAGAATCTCCACTCATATGATCTGCAGCAGTAGTAGGACATTTGTGTGCATCAAACATGAGTGTCACTAGTTCGATAGTAAATATTCCACATTCGAGGGGAGGATCCAGGACTTTTTGCCAAGGGGAGGGGGCTTAATCAGCAAATCTTTGCTGAAATGTAGACGGGTTTTTTTGTCCGGACACTTGGCCTCCATAGGTTCGGGGGGGGGGGGGGCGGGGCGGCTCGTACCATACTTTCAATGGGGGCGTTGTTCAAATCCGACGATCAGTAACACAACAGTGTACAAATGCCCCCTAACCGAGCTGGTTCCTACGAAAGCCCGTTAGTGCCATCGAATGTATACATTGCTCTTTGCAAGTATATGTTTGGTAAATCTTGTTTTTTGGATGTATAAGTTTGGTGAATCTTGTTTTTCGGATGTATATGTTTGGTGAATCTTGTTTTTCGGATGTATATGTTAAGCAAGTCTTGTTTTTCGGATGAACATGTCTAGCAAGTCTTGTTTTTTGGATGTAAATGTTTAGCAAATTTTGTTTTTTGCAAGTATCTGTTTGGCGAATCTTGTTTTTTGCATGTATATGTTTCCCGAGTCTTGTTTTTTGCAAGTATATGTTTGGCAAGTCTTGTTTCTGTGAAGTCTATTTTTAGTAACAGTCTTGTTTTTTGCAAGTATATGTTTCCCCGAGTCTTGTTTTTTGCAAGTATATTTCGCGAGTCTTGTTTTTGTGAAGTCTATTTTTAGTAACAGTCTTGTTTTTTGGAAGTATATGTTTCCCGAGTCTTGTTTTTTTGGAAGTATGTTTCGCACGTCTTGTTTTTGTGAAGTCTATTTTTAGTAACAGTCTTTGTTTTTTGCAAGTATATGTTTCCCGAGTCTTGTTTTTTGCAAGTATGTTTCGCAAGTTTTTTTTTTTTTTTAAAGTATATACATGTATGTATGTACGTACCCGATCTGCTACTCCCCACACAAAATTGTTGCACCCCTATTTTTATTTTTGGAATAGTCCTACTAGCTTGTACATGTACTTGTAGCTGCATAACATGTGGTCCATGTAATAATGGTACGGTATCCGGTCACTTTGGCACCTTGGGAACTCGGCACCCACCAACTCGGCACCTTGCCAACTCGGCACCTCGCCAACTCGGCATTTAGTCGGCACACAGCCAACTCGGCACCTGGCCAACTCGGCAACCAAATTTTGCTTCTTTCTCACAACTTCCGACTCAGCACCTGACCAACTCGGCACCTGTCATCCCGAAAGCAAAATTTTGTTTTGCCGTTATTCACAACCAATACCCCATCTCGATTTTTTTTTGGGGGGGGGCTGGAAATGTTGGCGCTGTGCGGCCAGGCGTGGCACTTGTCACCGGCCGTGCGCGGTGGCGATGGCCGGAGGGCATGTGCGGTCAAGCACGGCACTGTCACCGGCCGTGCACCGTGGCGATGGCCGGTGTGGATGTGTGGCCAGGGCAGGCGCAGTGCACCGTTGCCGTGGACTTGGAAGGACAAGCGTTGACCGGTGACGGCCAGCGTACAGTGCTTGCTACCCGTACTCAAAATATCGGAGGAACTGTCACTGAACGTTGCAATCTGACATCGCCAGTTCCATTATAAAAACAATTAGGCTATTAGTAACAGCGTATTTACCAGCTCAATGAAAATCGGTAATGTGCGGACTGATTACTGAGAAACATTTCGAATTTTGCACATGGGGAGGTGCCGAGTTGGTCAGGTGCCGAGTCAGCTAGGTGCCAAACTGGTTTTTGTACAGCTGTCGAGTTGGTGGGTGCCGAGTTGGTGGGTGCCGAGTTGCCAAGGTGCCGAGTTGGCAGGTGCCGAGTTGCCAAGGTGCCGAAGTGACCGAATACCGTACCATTATTACATGGACCACATGTTATGCAGCTACAAGTACATGTACAAGCTAGTAGGACTGTTCCAAAAATAAAAATAGGGGTGCAACAATTTTGTGTGGGGTGTAGCAGATCGGGTCCCTACATATATACTTAAAAAAAACCAAGACTCGCCAACATATACTTCCAAAAACAAGACTGTTACTAAAAATAGACTGCACAAAAACAAGACTTGCGAAACAAATTTGCAAAAAACAAGACTCGGGAAACATATACTTGCAAAAAACAAGACTGTTACTAAAAATAGACTTCACAAAAACAAGACTTGCGAAACATACTTGCAAAAAACAAGACTCGGGAAACATATACTTGCAAAAAACAAGACTCGGGAAACATATACTTCCAAAAAACAAGACTGTTACTAAAAATAGACTTCACAAAAACAAGACTCGCGAAATATACTTGCAAAAAACAAGACTCGGGAAACATATACTTCCAAAAAACAAGACTGTTACTAAAAATAGGCTTCACAGAAACAAGACTTGGGAAACATATACTTGCAAAAAACAAGACTAAAGAAACATATACTTGCAAAAAACAAGACTCGGGAAACATATACTTCCAAAAAACAAGACTGTTACTAAAAATAGACTTCACAAAAACAAGACTCGCGAAATATACTTGCAAAAAACAAGACTCGGGAAACATATACTTCCAAAAAACAAGACTGTTACTAAAAATAGGCTTCACAGAAACAAGACTTGCGAAACATACTTGCAAAAGCAAGATTTGCCAAATTTATACTTGCAAAAAACAAGACTTGCCAAACATATACTTGCAAAAAACAAGACTCGGGAAACATATACGTGCAAAAAACAAGATTTGCTAAACATATTCATCCAAAAAAACAAGAATTGCTAGACATATAAATCCGAAAAACAAGACTTGCGAAACATATACATCCGAAAAACAAGATTCACCAAAAATATACATCCGAAAAACAAGATTCACCAAACAAATACATCCGAAAAACAAGATTTACCAAACATATACTTGCAAAAAAGCAATGTATACATTCGATGGCACTAACGGGCTTTCGTAGGTTCCGTCTGTAATTTGTGCACAGGCGGATATTATTACCCGTATAATTTGATTGGGTGTCAGAGCAGGGGGGAGGGGTTCGCATTATTTTTAAGGAATTTCTATGAAAAGAAAAAAAAAAGAGCTGGGGCACCACCCCCACCCCCGGATGCGCCCCTGCATTGATTACGGGTGTTTTCATTTCTTCGTAGACTTTGGTGACGACTATGAGCTATTTTATAGTTCATAGACTATATACAGCGATAAGTCTGTTTTTATTTGATAAGCGAGATTCATATTCTTTGTATTTGATAAAGGATTTTACAGCGATTACGAACGTTTCCCTTCTTTCATAGACTTTGTCCAAGAATTGTGTTTTGATGATTGTTCGGATTGGTTCTTAGGGTGGTATGTTATGCACGAGGCTCGTTCGATGGGGGCGAGGAGCGAAAAATTGTTAAGACTTCCAATCCACTCCATCCCTTTCTAATTATAGAAAAGGTCCTTTATTTAGGTTGCTTGGACTCTTGTGTCATTCACACGATTTGTTCGTCTTTTTCAAAGGTAATAGACACCATTTATTCAGGGAATAAATGTGTGTTCGGGAGGTATTATAACACTCATGACCGGTGAGAGTCTGGATGGGTGATAATTACCCGAGGCAATTTCGAGTTTTTGCTTTAAAACAATGTACTTAACCAATTTTGACATGTAAGTAAAACATCATTAACTTCCAAGTTTCAATAATATTGCAAGGGGCAGAAATCTCGATAAATGTTTTCACGAAGAGCCACATACATTTTGGCCCTTTCAACGCGTACAAAACCCATTGCACGGAAATACGTAAAAGTGGGTCAATTGAAAAATCCGTCTTCACGAAGAGCCACATATATATCTGTTTGTTACATTTTCAGATTTGAAATACACGTTAAACAGAAAGGGCCAGAATGTTGGAAACCTGAATTTTCGTTTTCGTGAAGAGTCTCATATCAAATTTTCACCAATTTACTGCTGTATTAAGTCTAATTACTGGGTTCATGTAAAAATTCAGCTCTCATAAAATCGCGTAATGGTTTCCTTGCTGCACAACATTGTTGCAAACTGGTATTCTTTTTGCAGTTTTAATATGTGGAAAACTTCTTTTGCGATTATCTCTTCAAAATACACATGTGTGGCTTTTCGTGAAAACGGTGACGAATTTATTGTAATTTAAAAGTTATTTATTGGTGGGCTACACATCTCGTTTGGCAAGTTAAGTGAGCCCCCATGAAATTATTTCAGATGATATATTGGAATGAGTGTTTAAGCTAGACCCGAAGGGGCCCACCTGTCTCCTCTGGCTGACCGACTGACCGATAGACTGACACAGCAGCCGACCGAAAATCTGACCAACCGACCGACTAACTGACCGACTGACCAACCAAAAATCCACTGACCAATCAACAACCTAATGAACGACCAACCTACCGACCCACAAATCCACTGACCGACCAGCCAACCGTCAAACCACCCATACACGTACACGCACTTACACAGGCATAGAAGCGGGGTACTTCCTTTGATCTCGTGTACTAAAATGTTGCAATGTCGCACACTAATCTCGAAATGCTCTTTTTTAAACAGAATTAATTTCCTGGGATGAAATTCAGTTTTATCAACTGAACGATAATATATTTCTCACGCAGCACGAATGGGTTTTATGTTTAAGGGATGGATTGGAGATCATGAATAATGCATTAATGAGCGGATTGGCTAGCCCAGCAGCAACGTGGTAAGACAGAGGCTGTTGTCTGTGGGCTGTTGTCACGTGGAGAATACCACTTCGTTGCAGTAACTGAATGTGGAAACATCGTTATCGCTATTCTCCAGTGCAGCTTCAAGTATATACTTCGAATTTCATCCGAAGTTATCTTCCAA